AGCACAAAATCTTTGACGGTAGTTAAAAGCCTTGATCATTCGCCAATTTAGTGAATATAATATGTATCTGACCTCGCAAGCACACTCTTTCTAATGCTGAAAAGCCGAGATCGCTAGCTGTATCCGTTCGCGAGATATTGTTCTTAGAGTTTTCTCCATCTATTTCTGGAGCTGGCATTATTATATACCATTCAATAGAGAATTTTACGAGCTACAAAATGGTATATAAAACATAAGCAAAAAAAGAAAGCCAACTCAGCTATTGCAAAGATAACTAAACGGAATTCGGTTCTGTTTTTGTTCACGCTCTAATTAATCCACAAATAGAGCTCTATCTTCCGATCACAGAGATGATACTTCGAGGTTTTCTGGGGTGGAGAACTCGAATCTGTGCTCCATTCGCCTCGAAATTCCATTGGTTGAACAGTAACCAATAGAAATCAAGTGTTTATAGATAAGGTTTGCCAGGATAAATTTTATATCCCCATATTCTAGAACGACTCATCTGTCTCATTCACGTTTTGAAGTACACATAACTCTCGGATTTAAATCCGAGATTTCCACATTTTTTTTTGTGCTACGATAGGCACATTGATGACGAGTTGACATAACATCTAGCATATGAGTCAAAAGTTGTGATTTTTCAGAACACTCTATGTCACTTGTGCACCTAGGGCGTGGATGTGAGTGTCACACCTCTCTTTACTCACACGCACACCCTCCTTCTTCTTCCAGAGTCCACGGAGTACAATTGAAGTACAAAAGTCTAGGGAATATAATAGAAGTACGAGGAATCCACGGAGTACAGTGGAAGTACCAGAGTTTGTCGTTGCCTCCGTGATTTTATATTACCTCCGACACACTCCATTGTACTTCGTGTAGTCTAGGAGTACTGGAGTACGTCATTTCTCCCTTGATTCAAATGCATTGAAATTAGACATCATTATATTGCATGAAGTCGTCAACGCATTAAAATGCATTTTTTAGATATTGGTCATAACTACATGATAATGTAATTCATATCGTGTATTATAATGCATGTTTTGTGTAAACGCATTGTAATGCATGATAGTCATAATGCATTAGATCGCATTTTATTTTTCAATAAAATATAATGAATGTAATGAGTTGCATTATCATAACATTACATTCATTAATTTTCTATGGCGAAATAATGCATTATAATGTGCATTTTCCTGAAAATTGGCCAATTATTTAACTCTAAAGTATAATATAATCGAGATGAGTAGAACTCTCTTTTACCACTGGAATGGATCCATTGTGTTTCACATTTTAATCCCACAGAGATTGCGCTGACAGCCTTTTCATTAATTTCAATAGTCTGAATAATTATGCTGTTTCAATAGTTTCAATATTTGTGCTATTTCAATAGGTTCACTAATTGTGTTATTTGAATAGTTTCGATAGGTTCAATAATTGTACTATCTCAATAATTTCAATAGTTTCGTCATTTCAGTCATTTCAAGAGTTGATCTACTTCAGGAATTTTGTAATTTTTGTTATTGCGGAATGTCAATAATTCCCTATGAGTGAAGTTAAAGATGATAAACGTTGTAAGTGCTTAAGAATTTGTGAAATGCTGAAAAACGATTGTTGCTATTAAAGGTTTGCCATGAGTCATGCTAGGAGCGTATGGGAGATCGAACGTATTGAAATAAAAGCTGTACAGATTGAGTTGATAGCATGTTTGCCAATGAAGATTTGGCCGAAAGCAATTCACGTGTAGTAGCACCGCGTTCAATGCCTTATATGTAAAGTTGAGATAGCATTTAGGTTTTGTTCATGCTGCAAAATAAAGAACATGATCGATAGGTGCATTGTAGAAGAGCGATTCTGTGTCACTGATTGATTCGTCTTGTATTCTGACCAACTTGCTGGTCTCATCGACAAGAGTTTAATTCTGTCAGACGAATGGGCGAACGGACATAGATCCAAGTATTATCAAGAGATATTTTCTTTTGATTACGATTTGGTATTAAAATAGGATTCTTTTTAACTCTGACTTCAGTCTTTCTTCTATACTTTGATAAGATGGGTGGAAATCTACTGCGATAAATACTGTTCAGAAAAAGAGAAGTTGTTTTTTGAGAAAATAATGATCTTGTGCCTTGAAAAATATGGTCGGAATAAGAACTAACTAAAATAAAACGCTTCACTGCTAATCAAAGACCATTAGTTCCGACAAAAGCTTTAATTATCGTCCTTTACAGAACGGTCTATAAATAATTATAGAGGATAATTATAACGGTATCACATAGATAGTCACTTGAGTATAGTGTAAAAACGCCTTATACACTAGCGGATACGGTATATCGGTAGAAAGAAAAATAGAAGGTTCGTTGAGTTGATTCTTAAAACATTTTAATTAATAAGAAAGCTTTTTTCTGTTATTCTCTTTGCAAAACATCTTTTTTGAGAGATAAAAGATACTCATCAGTATGTGTTAACATTCATCATTAAACTTCAATGTAATTTTCATAAAGTGTTCAAAGTCAGGCGTCTTCATGCACGGCTGGATAATACATGCAATTCTATGAAAAAAAACATTTTATTGGTTAAGTCCTATTGCATTCACTGAAAGTAAAGACATACACATTCTTTTTCCAACATGGCGTCTACAGAACAAACTCTTGTCTTTATCACCTATTTCATAAATGTCTATATTGGTTACTTTATTGTCATTACTGGTTTGATTGGAAATATTATCAATATTATTCTTTTTACTCAATTAAAACTATTTCGACGAAATCAATCAGCATTTTATCTGATAGTTGCATCAATTGTTGATTGTTTTCAATTAATTTTTTCAGCTGCTACTCGTGCTACTGTAGTTGCTTTTGGCTTTGATCCAACACGAACATCTATTGTTTGGTGTAAACTCCGAATTTATTTTCTTCAATTCGGAAGCATTACTTCGTCAGGAACTGTTTGTTTTGCTGCTATTGATCAATATTTATCTACACATTATCATCATCGATTGAGGCAAATGAGCACCTTCAAACTAGCTCAGTATCTTGTTGGTATTCTTATTGTATTCGTAGCTTTATACAGTATTTTATTTCCAGTTTTTTTTGAAATTCATGGAAACGCTGGTTGTACCACAGTCAATCCAATATTCAACTATTATTATTCTTTTGTTCATTTTTGTATACTTATTAGTATTCTACCAATTGTTATTTCATCATTATTTAGTTTGCTGGCTTATCAAAATGTTCGTCGTATAGTACGACGTCAAGTAGCAATAATTCGACGACGTCTTGATCGACAATTAACTGCAATGATTCTAGTACGTGTTATCTTATTGGTTATAACAGTATTACCATTTGTGAGTCTTCGAGTGTATCAAATCAATAATCCAATGAATCAGAATGATACATTTGCCGTAACCGTTGATCAGTTAATCAGAATCGTTATCACTACAGTTTATAATACCAACTATTCGGTATTTGATTTGTTGTTGTTGTTGTATTGATAATTTGATTTGTTTGTTTAGGGTACTTTTTATGTTTTTTTGGTAGCATCAATTCGATTTCGTCGACAAGTAAAACATTTATTTTTGAAGAAAACTTGGCGAAAATGTCTATCAATGATGGCGAATAGAAATCAAGTTGCACCGGAAAATCAATTGGCGACAATAGAATCACATGGATCAGACGGAGACATTGACAGTTGAAGTCTAATGACGTTTACAGTAATGTCAATCTTGTAAAAATCAAATATATATTTAGAATTATGAATGACATAGATGCTGTTCCTCTCTGCTTTTATGTTTAATTAATTGACTGCCGCATTCTTCTTTTTATATAATGATGTGTAGTATAATCCCTTATTCTTCTATCCTTTCGTTTAATCAATAACGTGAATCAAAAGCATACTATAATTTATTGCCGCTTCAAATACCCTCATCGTATAGAAGGAGAAAAATGTCAACTGAAATATAAGAATAAAATATATAAACGTCGTTTATTTCTTCGCGAATTAGAGACGAGTTAAACCGCTTATCTTCTTGATTTTCGCTCGACAACTTAGAAAGTTTTCCAGGGTGTGGGTGTGGGCGCAGATGTGGGAAGGGTAAGGGTGTAGATGTACTGAAATAGCATCACAACTAATAAATTCTTAATAAGTAAATAAATCCCGTAGAAGAAATAAGTCCCGAAAAAATAAGTCCTCGTAGCTCCTCGGTTATAGTCCTGATTTTAACGCTATTGAACTGTTCTGGAAAATTATTAAACAGGAGCATTAAAAACAAGAATCTAAAGTTACAACCTGCACTATAGAATGCGGTGGATGAAGCTTGCTCAAGACTGCCATTAAATGTTACTCAACCATGTATTAAAAAGGCTTAGAAAGTATATCAACACTTTGTATCTTCATATTAAACTTTTATTTGTAATACAAACATCTACACTTGTACTATTCATATGTATATATGCAAGAAAACTTCTTCTGACCGTAAACTCTATATTTTAGATCAAAAATACGGTTTGCAATCATTTTGTCGTTAGTAGTATGGTTTCAATTTAATGAGTCTTTTTTTAATGAATCATCAAGTTAGATCTTGAAAAGACAATGAGCATTGTTTTAGCCTCGAACACAATGCTTCTTCTAGACAATCAGTGGAATTTGAAATTTAAATGACATTATCCTAACAAATACTTCAATTTTATTCAGCCACATAATGATCAACGACAAATTAGCCATCATAAGGTTACCTTTTTTTTGAAAATACTTCTAATGTCTCATTCGAAAGAGTCACACTTTACTACGAAGCAAATGGTAAACGTGCATGTGAACAGGAAATAGAGAATATATTCACACCGATACCCGACGATAGACTACTAATATCGTTGTCGCTGTACATTATTTCGACGGAATATATATGTATATCAAGTGTATCAGGATTATTTCGAAAAATTGATTATTGTTCGACGAAAATGTGTCTTTTTACTTCCTAGAAAGTACATTTTCTTATTCTGTCTTATGCATACATAAATTTCATTGCGAAGAAAAATAAATATTGAGTCATTTCCTTCTTACAACTTTTCGAATTGCATATTTTGGCTTTTTCCATCATTTATCTAAAGTTGTATCTTTTGTGAAAACAAAGGTGAATAGTTATTACACATTTATGTTTGTTTCTTTCTTTGTACTACGCAAATACATTTATATACCAATTCTTCCCATCGTCAATGTTTTATTTGTGTTTTTTTTTGCATCATGAATGACGCATTGTTTCATGCAGGTTTTTTCACAAAATACTTCAGTTAATAATATTTTATATACTTTTATAAAAACACAAACATATGAAACAGTAAAGAGAAATCTATTCTACTAATAAATCGAAGATAAGTTCAAATTCGAAAGTTGTCATCACTATTTCTGTGGAATTAAAATGTGGAAGACGATATAGCTGCTGGTGCTAATCATCGGAAGATAGTTTTATTCTCTCTATTGTAGGGCATTTTTCTTCATCATCCTTTACTTAATCCTACAGAAATTCAAAAAGAAAGTAGCTCGTATATTGTAATCAAACATTATTGATATACAGTTTTGATCCTGTATCAACAACGTCTTTTTTTTGCTCTATGGAAGTAAAAATTTATACCATATATATTTGAACAATTGTTTTAGACTGTATCTCGCAAAAATGTCTTATTCATTTGCATCTTTCTTTTGTCCAATCACTCGTGAACTTATGAAAGAAGTTAAACCTGTTCTTTTATACGAAGATACATACTATGTTTATCAAACAAGCCACAGCATGTCGTAGAAAATTTTCTTTCGTTTAGACAGTCATCCCATCTCAATCGGTTCTTCTTCAGAATACACACCCTATGCACACATTGGCTGACACGACAACGAATGGGAGTGAAGGAGTGTGCGTATTCTGAAGAACTATCTCTCATCAACCAATTTTCATCGCTTGCTCGAGAAACGTTCGATTCTTTTAGACAGTTACTTCATGTGAACCCATTTTCATCCCTTGCTCGAGAAATATTCGATTCTTTTAGAGAATCACCCCACATCAATCCGTTTTCATCAAAACAGTGCATACAGATACTGTAGATAAAAAATGATTTACTCATACTAAAATTGGACCAATCATCAAAGTTCCCATATCCCCATCATCGACAAAAAAATTACTCATAATAAAATTTCATCAATCATCAATATTCCCATCTTCCCATCATCAAAAAAATTACTAATTTATTATCACATAAAAAAAATACTAAGCATCTTATATCTTTGTCCTTAAATAAACTAAAAAAAAGCTTTAAATTTTGAATAAACAAATAAAACTTATGTCTTTCTAAAAAATATCTTCTTTTGCAAAATTAAAAGTAGCAATTTCAATCTCAACTAGATTCCAAATTCACCTCTCACATCTATATTCAAACAAATTCATAATGATTTTTTCATTTAATACTAAAGTAATTAAAAAAGGTGATGAAGAACGTCCGGTTACATCTTGCCTAATTAAATATTGTTTCATGGTATTTTCAACTTTATGTTTTTGTTCGTAGGTAAGTGTTCAGAAATGAAGCACTATTTTTTTTTAAAACATGAGAAAAAAATTGGCGAAAACAATTTCTTCAGTTACCATTAGGTGCTGCTGCGAAGACTTTAGACGGTGGCAGCTTCCACCTTGATTTTTAGGTACACTGCACATCTCTGACTGGAACAGCGCCTCAGTTATCAATAAAAAATTTTCGGTTCTATTTTTTTCAGAATTGTCAGGCTTTACTTTTCAATCTATCATTGGTCTAGCCCCATCTTAGATTCGACATACTTTAACTGATCTATTCGAGAATGATCCGAATTAATGTTCGTGTAATATCGGATTGAGAAGAAAACTTATGTAAAAGCTCGAATTAATTTGAGAGGAAATTGATATAATCATCATTTGATCAATCAAGATTAAATCCATGAAGTTACGGACGGTTCCAAACAAAAGAATTACTTCAATAGAAAATTGTTCATAATCTTTCCAATCTTTACTTGATTTGTCATCGATTCCAATTTCTTTCATATAATCAAAAAATTAATATTGATACAAATGCTTTTTTAATCATAAACAACTAATTCCGTCAGTTTGTCTTCTTTTTCTGTTATCTCACAATAATATTTTAACATTCTTGATATATTTTAAAATGATAAATTTTTTCTTTTATTTTTATCTTCTTGAATATTTCTATGTGATGATACACATATTTTAAAAGTATCAGAAAGAAACACCAGACACAGATATAGAGCAAAATAATATAAAATAAAGAGAAAAAAAGAAATAGAAACAAAACAATAACAACAACAACAAAAACAGAAGCTCCATATGCCAATGTTTCATTCTTGAAGATCAAGTCCAGAAGATGCTCAGAAAAATTCTTGATAGATGCAAAATGCATACATAACAAAAGTAACCGGAACGGAAATAGAATAAATGAGTTTTTTAAAAGGAATGAATCAACTAACCATGACATCCTCTAGAATGTACGTACGAAATAAAATATGAGGAAAAAAAGAAAACAAATACGGGGATGTCCTGAATAAATGAATAACAACAACAATAAAGAAAGAAAGAAAAAAACAGGGAGAGAAAGATAAGATTTCCTGATGAATGCATCATCTGACTTGAAGAATGAGAATATGCACAAGATATTTATTCAATATTTTTGTACATATCATCAATTTCTTTTTCGAAATATTTTGCTAATTCAGGTCGTTTTGTTTTCATTGTTGGTGTTAAAAGATTATTTTCAATTGAAAATTGTTCAGGATGAAGATAAATATCTTTTGCCTAAGCAAAAAACAAAACAAAAAACTGTATTTTTCTATAAATTCTAAGAAAAAGATTAATATACCATTTCAAAACCTTTTAATGAATTTGATTTTTCCAATTTTTTTATATCATTAAATATTAAATCTTTTATTTCTTCCTTCTTACATAATTCTACAATATCACCTGATATATTATTTTCACGTGCATATTTTTGAAGTATATCAGCATCTGGAACAATAATAGCTACTGTAAAACTCTATTCAAAAACAAAATAATGTTATTAAATAAAACAAAATTCAAATATCAATTATTTTACCTTATAACCATTACCATAAACAAATACTTGAGCGATAAATCGACTATGAATATAAATATTTTCAATACGTTCAGGTGCAACATATTCACCCTAAAATAAAGAAAATAAATTTATCTATCTTAACGAATTTTTTTTTTTATTAAACTTATTATCGATAGCACAGAGAATTTGCATTATTCTAGATCAGATGAAATTACATAATCAATATAGATTTTATTGAAGTATCCTAAGAGAATATCTCACTTTCATCCTAAGATAAATATTTATGACATTGAATATTTTTCATCAGGTAGATGAGAATAGTTTATATGATTACTTTCGATATGAGTATCTGTTGAGATTTATTAATTTTTTTCCCAAGAGATTATAGTCAATGATCAAGTCGTCTATGGATGTCGCTTTCTTATTTTTATCTATTCACTTTTTGTTCTTTACATACCTGTGCTAATTTAAACATATGTTTTTTGCGATCAATAATTTGAATTTGACCACTCTATAAATAAAATATTGAATTATTATATTCAAAAATAAAATTAAAAACAAAACATCTTACTGTTGTCCATCTAGCGATATCACCCGT